GCTTACTGGCCCATAGTTGCCTGACTCTTCCCACCTTTCTTGTGAATGGGCACAACATTCGCTAATAGAATTGAGCGGACACCTGGATGTTAGGGTCTGGCGGGCCGAACTTTGAAAAAAGTCAATGGGGACCCGAAATTTTGGCCACAAAAATGCCTCTAAAAAACTTGTGGAAAGGGCTAGAGAGCTGCAAAAGGAAATAAAATGAGGGGTAAGAGTGCCCTGCAAACAAATGTGGATAGGGAAATCACTTAAAATAACAAAAAAATTAAAAATACAGCTGAGCCATAAAATAGCACTAGATGGAATCTTTGATTTTAGCTTTGGAAGAACATAAATCAAAATCTAAAGCATGGCTGTCAGGAGGACCACCAGAATTGTCCATTTGAAAGAGGGTTGGAGTGCAGGGTATTCTCTTTCATTGTTCAAATTGAGCTCAACTCCTGATGCATGGAGAAAAGGCCTTCATAAGCCTCTGCTAATGTGTACATAGTTTATACTAAGTGACCCATTGGTTGAAGAGGTGGTGACCGTGGCGGTGTAGGTGGAAGCAGCGGTGGAGGAGGAGGATGAGGTAGCCAACACTGTTTTTTATATATATATATATATATACAGGGAACCTGAGAAACGGCTACCACATGCAAGGAAGGCAGCAGGCGCGCAAATGACCCACTCCCGACGCGGAAGGTAGTGACGACAAATAACAATACAGGACTCTTTAGAGGCCCTGTAATTGTAATGAGTCCACTTGAAATCCTCTGATCTGATGAAAAACTCTGATCAATTGGAAGGAAGTCTGGTGCAGAGCCACTGACCCGTGCGTGCTGCAGCTGAAACTCCACTATCGCCTGCTGCTGCTCGCACCGTCTCATGAGGCGGTGAGCGGGAAGGCCGAAGTTATGCTGCAGTGCAGACAAGCAATCAGCAGCAGGGTAACAACGCCAAAAGTGCGCACAGCCGCTACAGTGAATGTCACATCCTGTTCCAATTTGCGGATCAGTCTGGTGATGGCTTCTGGTATCCAGTACTCTTTTTACTGAAGCTGCATCAGGGTCCTGGTATTTGGCCGCACACATGCTGGTGCTCAACACCAGGGGGCGTGTGGTTACCCTGCACCAGACCCTGCTAATCCATTCCACACTGTGACTCCTAACTTCAACATCAGACATACTGAGTTCCGGTAGTCCGACCACCGCCCAGACAGTGTCTGTGTCCTGGTCAACGGACTGCCCACCTGACTGTGAAACTACGAATGGATCGTTATTATGGATCCTTTGATAGCTACATGTATTACTTGGATAACTGGTAATTCTCGAGCTAATACATGCTGATGAGCGTAAGGGGACGGCCGCTCCACTTTTGCACCCTGCTCCCTCTTATGCTGTGCTGGTGCCTCTGTGCGACCAGCGCCTCTTCCTCCAAACTGCACATGTCACTCGCATGACCTTCATTCCATGTGGGGTCTAGGACCTCATCAACCTCCACATCATCTACCACCCACTTCTCAACCCTGCCCTCCTTGCCGGTATGCACACTGCAGAAAGCCACAGCAGTTGGCACCTGTGTTTTTCCAGCATGTAAAGTCTGCAAAGGACATATGTAAATTGTTTTAGAATTGTATCCAGGCAAACTGACCTCTAAGTTTGACTTGTGAGGGTATTGCCCCAGAATTACAATATTGTTTAAGTGCCTCTTAGCTATTGATAACTGGTTTAAATATAGCAGCTTGTTATCTGGTAGTTTCTAGTGTAGAAAATATAATTCTGTTTTCTATCACTTAGATCTGTGTAACAAATGTTATAGGTGTGAAACAATATTACAAGTGACCAATGTAGTAAATTTGAATCAAAGTTACGCTTCAGTTTGACTCTCAGATATGAAGTGAACACCCCAAATATACTATTTAGCACCAAAAAAAAAAAATAACAAAAAATTGGCTTTTTAAAACTCCAATGTAAGCAGCAGATTAGCAGCAAAACAATTACAATGTTTACAACTGCGCAGTAAGCGCACTATTAGACGCTTCTATTTGACTTTCAAATATGAAGAGCAGGCCCTAAAATTTACTATTTAGCAGATTAGCACCCAGAAAATAAGAATGTTTACCACTGCGCTGTAAGCACACTATTAGACGCTTGTATTTGACTCTCAGATAAAAGGCATTTTGCACAGTCTGTTGCTCTTCATAATTCATTTTCTGCACTTTCAGAGTGTAATGGTGTTATGGAGAGAGGCACTGAGGCTAGTGGTGTTGTGGAGAGAGGCACTGAGGCTAGTGGTGTTGTGGAGAGAGGCACTGAGGCTAGTGGTGTTATGGAGAGAGCCACTGAGACTAGTGGTATTGTGGAGAGAGGCACTGAGGCTAGTGGTGTTGTGGAGAGAGGCACTGAGACTAGTGGTGTTGTGGAGACCGGCTTGTTGACTATAGTGAGGCCTAATAGAAAGCAATTGTTGTTGGGGGATTCCATTATAAGAGGTGTGGTCTTGTGACAGTGGTGGTCTTGTGAGGTGTCTTCCCGGAGCTACTGCTCACAGAGACAGGAGACGTATCTGTAATATTGTTAAGCAAGCAAAGCAGGAAGGGGAATTGGATATACTTGTCCATCTAGGGACAAATGACTTGGCTTGCAATGAGGTTTCAGAGGTTAAGGAAGTTTTTAGTGTTTTTGCCAATGATATACGGCAGGTTGCTTCCACACTGTCATTCTCTGAAGTTCTGCCTGTGCATAACACTCAGAACGACAGGCGGATGCGTATTAGGGACTTTAATTTGTGGCTTGGTGAATGGTGTCGGGAGCAAGGATTTGGCTTTATTTCTCATAGTAGCTCTGTTTGGAATGGAGATAAGCTGTACAAAAAAGATGGTTTGCATCTTTCTCAAAAGGGAACAAATGTTCTCAGTGAGCAGTTCAGAGGTTTTGCAAGGATGTATTTAAACTGGGGGGGGGCAAAAGGGTGATAAAACAACAATCCAATTGTCCCTCAAAACAAGGACAGAAGGTGCCTGTAGCAAGTGTGTTAAAAATGATAAGCTTAGAGTCATGTCTACAAATGCTCGCAGTTTAGGGAATAAGATCCATGAACTTGTGGCAATAATGGCAACTGATAGTGTAGATTTAGTCGCTGTTACTGAGACATGGTACAATGAGAAAAATGACTGGGACATAGCAATACCAGGGTACTCTTTATATAGGAAAGATAGGGAAGTCAAGAAAGGGGTAGGGGTGCCCTTGTATGTGAAGGATAGCATAAAATCTAGCCTAATAAAAGTTAGTGAGGCAAAGATAGAGTCCGTTTGGGTTACGTTAGAATTTGGTAATCACACAGTAACTCGTGTAGGTGGGATTTATAGGCCCCCACGACAAATTGAAGAGTTAGATAATCTACTAGTTGAGGAAATAGCTAAAATGACAATGAAGGGGGAAGTTATCATCATGGGTGACTTTAATCTTCCTGATGTAAATTGGAAAACAAAATTAGCTACTTGTGCCAGGAGCACACATATTTTAAACTCCCTACTGGGATTGTCTCTAAAACAAGTTGTTGAGGAGCCAACTCGTAAAGAGGCAATACTAGATTTAGTGTTAACAAATGGAGATTTGGTATCAGATATTACTGTAGGTGAAAGTTTAGGATCCAGTGATCATCAGTCAGTGTGGTTTAATATAAGAATAGTGACTGAGTCACACCAGACAAAAACAAAAGTTTTAGACTTTAGAAAAACAGACTTTTCTAAAATTAGAATATGGGTAGAGGAGTCGTTATCAGACTGGAGCAATTTAAATGGAGTCCAAGAGAAATGGGATTATTTAAAGGTTGCACTATTGAAGGCAACAGAAAATTGCATTAGGTTTGTCAGTAAAAGCAAAAAATTCAACAAACCACTGTGGTACTCCGCAGATGTGGCCAAAATAGTTAAAAACAAAAAGTTAGCATTTAGGAATTATAAAAAAACCCAGAGTGAGGAAGACAAAATGATCTATACGATTAGGCAGAAAGAGGCTAAGCAAGTTATAAGAGCTTCCAAATCACACACAGAAGAAAAAATAGCACAGTCAGTAAAAAAGGGGGATAAAACATTTTTAGATACATAAATGAGAAAAGAAAAGTAAAACGAGGATTAGTTAGATTAAAAACAAAAGAAGGAAGGTATGTAGAAGAGGATAAAGGTCTAGCTGGCTGCCTCAATGAATATTTTTGTTCTGTATTTACAGATGAAAATGAAGGAAAGGGACCTCAGTTAAGAAAAAGGATAAATGAGTCATTTATTACACGTGAGTTTACAGAGGAAGAGGTTCTATTTCAAATGTCAAAAGTAAAGACAAATAAGTCAATGGGACCTGATGGAATACACCCAAAGCTATTAAAAGAGCTTAGTGGTGTACTAGCAAAACCATTAACAGATTTATTTAACCAATCATTGTTAACAGGAATAGTCCCAGAAGATTGGAAGTTAGCAAATGTTGTGCCCATTTACAAGAAAGGTAATAGGGAGGAGTCGGGCAACTATAGGCTAGTAAGCCTTACTTCAGTAGTGGGGAAAGTGATGGAAACCATGTTAAAGGATAGGATTGATGAACATCTAAAAACACATGGATTTCAAGATCAAAGACAACATGGGTTTACTTCAGGGAGATCATGCCAAACTAATCTTATTGATTTTTTTGATTGGGTAACTAAAATTATAGATTAGGGTGGTGCAGTAGACATTGCTTACCTAGATTTCAGTAAGGCTTTTAACACTGTTGCACATAAGGCTTATCAATAAACTGCAATCTTTAAGTTTGGATTCAAATATTGTTGAATGGGTAAGGCAGTGGCTGAGTGACAGGCAACAGAGGGTTGTAGTTAATGGAATATATTGAAGCTTGGACTTGTCACCAATGGGGTACCTCAGGGATCTGTACTTGGGCCCATTCTCTTTACTATTTTTATTAGTGATATTGCAGAAGGTCTTGATAGTAAGGTATGTCTTTTTGCTGATGAAACTAAGATATGTAACAGGGTTGATGTTCCAGGAGGGATAAGCCAAATGACAAATGATTTAGGTAAACTAGAAAAATGGTCAGAATTGTGGCAACTGACATTTAATGTGGATAAGTGCAAGATAATGCATCTTGGGCGTAAAAACCCAAGGGCAGAGTACAGAATATTTGATAGAGTCCTAACCTCAACATATGAGGAAAGGATTTAGGGGTGATTATTTCTGATGACTTAAAGGTAGGCAGACAATGTAATAGAGCAGCAGGAAATGCTAGCAGAATGCTTGGTTGTATAGGGAGAGGTATTAGCAGTAGAAGAGGGAAGTGCTCATGCCATTGTACAGAACACTGGTGAGACCTCACTTGGAGTATTGTACACAGTACTGGAGACCGTATCTTCAGAAGGATATTGATACCTTAGAGAGGGTTCAGAGAAGGGCTACTAAACTGGTTCTTGGATTGCGGGATAAAACTTACCAGGAAAGGTTAAAGGATCTTAACATGTATAGCTTGGAGGAAAGACGAGACAGGGGATATGATAGAAACATTTAAATATATAAAGGGAATCAACACAGTAAAGGAGGAGACTATATTTAAAAGAAGAAAAACTACCACAACAAGAGGACATAGTCTTACATTAGAGGGACAAATGTTTAAAAATAATATCAGGAAGTATTACTTTACTGAGAGGGTAGTGGATGCATGGAATAGCCTTCCAGCTGAAGTGGTAGAGGTTAACACAGTAAAAGGAGTTTAAGCATGCGTGGGATAGGCATAAGGCTATCCTAACTATAAGATAAGACTAG